GCGAATGTTCTTGATCCAAGGTCTAATAAAACTGGTTCAGAAGCAACTACTCTTATTGGGCTCTTTCAAAAGATTAGCTCCAGATTTAAGAAAGGTAGTAACATGGTACAAAGTACACCCCCCCCCCCCCCAAAAAAAAAAAAAAAAAAATACTAGATGGCATTTCATTTTGAGTCCAAATATATAAATGATTTTATCTTGCATTGAAGTTTTTATTTTATTTATAATGAATCTTGCATTGAAGCTTTTCGTGAAATATTGGAGCGGAAGGCTTCTGCACATCCTTTTGAGAATGTTCAATCTATGCTACCACCAAATTCGTGGCTTGGGTCATATCCTATCCCTGGTAAGTTGTTTTTGATGCATTCTTAACCTCTGGTTATCTTTATTTCTTGTTGGTGTATGTTGTATACACATACAGATGAGGTAGGTGGATGCTGGGTCACATAGATGCCAAAAATGAGGCATACTTAGTGGTGTTAGGAATCCTAGAAAGTCTGTTGCAATCTGTAATAATACTTAATTAGTGAACCATATAGTTGAAAAGTGCGAGGTACGATGACTTGCAAGGTCTTTGTCTGTTGGACCTGATGTAGAATTTGTCTGACAGGTGGTTAACCATGTTTTAATTGCATTCCTTATGTGTGAAGTTATGTCCGCTGCACGTTGAACATGTCCCTTTATTTCAAATTTGAACACTTCAAAAGATCAGTTTTATTCCCAGGGCATTTTGAAATATATTCAAAAAACATATGAAATATTAGATTAGATTAATGATGAGGTGTCAAAACTATCACGTTTGATTTGATATAGTAAATGCTGAACATCAATCTAAAATCCAACTTAATAATACCCTCAAGGATTAAAAACCTTGTGTGAAGGAATATTAAAGTCGTTGACCAAACATCCGGTTTAAGGACACATGGACAGTGAATCAACAGAATCGAGTTTGCAATCCTTCATTGTGGTTTCTAATCTTGGGATATTGCATGTTGATTTCCAGTGTTTATAATGTTGTGCAGGCATAGGTGGCCATGTGTCCTTTCTGCTCCTGTTGTAGAGTAGAATAATTCCAGGGACTTCCATGTAGTCAAATTTATGTTCACGTCTCATATCTTAAAGATGTGTCACTTTTCATTCTTACAACTTCTTCCGTCCCTTTTTATATGAAAACTCTTCCCTTGGGATGTCCCAAAATGTTTGACGGTATTCCAGAAACATGATTTCACAAATTTCAAAAAAAAAATGATTTAATTATTCAAAATTTAAACTTGATATGATGCGTTCTCTGCTGAACTAACTTAGTAAGTGTTACTTTAATCTTTTTCATCATCACTAATATATTACATAATGTATCCACAATAACTAATATAATGCATAAGTCAGAGTAGCATTTGTATAAGATGCGCGGAGGGATTATTATTCCTCAGTTCCTTTATGACAATGAGGGACTTGTATGTGGAGACAATTTTAAGTTAATAACTAATAACTTAAAAACTGTTACTTTTCATTCTCTTACAATTATCTTTCTTTTAATTATTATTGGTGTCACTAGTTTTAGTTCTTTTTGGATTCTCTGGTGTCAGATCACAAACGTGATGCAGCACGGGCAGAGAATGCACTTACACTTTCTTTTGGAAGTGAGCTGATTGGCATGCAAAGGGATTGGAATGAAGAGTTACAATCTTGTCGGGAATTCCCCCATACAAACCCCCAGGAAAGGTGCATCTCGACGGATCTAACTTCTAAGTCAAATTGTGCATTCTAGAGTGAATTAATTAATTCTGTTATAGATTCTACTTGTGTATGCAATACTATGCCTACGTCTGTCTGTGAAGGTAGAGTTTCCTCTGTTCATGTGTAGTCATCTAACTCCTTTTTATCACAGGATACTGCGAGATAGGGCCCTGTACAAAGTCAGTTCGGACTTTGTAGATGCTGCAATTAGTGGTGCTATTGGAGTTATCAACAGGTGTATTCCCCCAATTAATCCAACTGATCCAGAGTGCTTTCATATGTAAGTATTGAGCTGGAGATGAGCACAAATAATTTCCTTGTAACTATATGGTTTCACTTAAAAATAACTTAATACTTTTGGATATGGTATAGTTTGACCTCCATAATTGAAAATATAGTGCAAGAAAGTGGAAAACTAAGTAACAAACAGAAAGTGGGGTTTTGCTTGGGGGAGGGGCGGTGAAGGTGAACATATCAATTAGGTATCAACTGATATCCCGTAAGGGTGTCAAATGTCAGGTCGAAACGGGATGAGTAGAAGAAGTGTGTTAAAGAACAGATCACAAACAAACTGCCAACTCAAGTCCTTAAGCTAAATAGCCTGGGTAAAATATGTTCATTATAGTTCTTGCATTGCAATAGTCATTATTATGTCTTTTCCAGTTATTCACCGAGTTTCGAACCGTGCACCACTGGCCATCGGGGAATTCTCGGTTATAGAACAAGTCATTACTATGTCTTTTACAAGTTCACTCGGAGCATTAAATTTGTTGTATAGCTCCTCGAAATTGATCTTCATTGGAAGTAGAAAAGAAAACAAAGGGGAGCAAGCTAGGTAATAGGAACCAGTGGAGGCAGTTGGAATGCATACACGCAAGTAAAAGAAAAACAGTATTTTAGTGCCATCAGGCAGCAGTGGTTGCCTTAATCCCATTCTGCAAGTGCACCTTTTTTTTTTCTGGTTCCCTTAGTACATAAATTGCATCATTATTCCCATCATTCCCACCAATGAATTTGGGCTACTACTTGTACCCCAAACTGGCCCAATATTTTGTACGGTCTGTTTTGACCTGTCATTTAACATATTAATCACCCTATACACTGAAGTATGGGCGGTTGGATGGGTTAACAGCTTAAGTTGAAACCAGTCGTTTAACATGCTCTTATCCCATTAGCCCTTCCACCAGGTGGAAAGAAGGTCAGAAGGACATTGGGAGTTAATGGTGGTGAGAAGGCAGGTACAGGGTGGGGAGAAAGTAGAGAGATCGTCATTGCTGTCCTTCTCTATTGCTTGTCTGAGCTGACTATGTGCCTGATCCATCATTTCCGTGCTGCATTTTTGTTCACATTATGCTTGTTGGCCAAATGTTGTTTAGATTGCTAGAAAGATTCTCCTTAGTTGTTCATTGTCACTTTTGCCTGATACTTTTGTATGAATCTAGGTACGTTCACAATAATATATTCTTCAGCTTTGCTGTTGATGCGGATCTTGAGCAACTGTCCCGAAAGCAGGGAGCTGATTCTAAAGTTGAGGGCACAGGCTTATTACGTAGTTTGTCGGAAAAGACCTCCAACAATTTGTCACAGGGAGCCTCTGAAGTCTCTAATGGAGATGAGCATGGCGGCCCAGTTGTAGAAGCTGTAAACATCAACTTGGATTGTCCTCCTGGAGTGCCTGGTGAAACTCAGTTGGCAGAAAGTGAGCAAGCCACTTATGCAAGTGCGAATAATGACTTGAAAGGCACAAAATCATATCAGGAAGCTGATGTCCCTGGATTATACAACCTTGCTATGGCGATAATTGATTATAGAGGTCATAGAGTGGTGGCACAGGTGTTTATTGAACTTGTATTACCTATATAGTCGTATGCTGTAGTTTAATGCTTTAGATAAGTTCAGACATTAAGTGTTAATTACCATGGGTTTTCAACTGGAAACCATCTTTCATGAATTTTGTAATTTCATGCATCTGACTTTGAAGTTGGACCTGCAATATAAGTAAGTGGCTTCACTTACTCGACATTTGTCCTGGATTGAACCCCTCCGTACCATTTTATGTGGAGTCGATTGACCGGGTCAGGAATTTAAGAAATTTAAGAATTCTTTTAACATGTAAGCCAAAGATATGTGAAGTACCGAAAGTATCCTTTTAGATGGGTTTTGGTGAGAGTTCCACATGTCATGCATTTTTTCTCTCCTTGTAAAAGGATGAACTTTTATTCAAGTAAATCCCAACAAGTCATGTCATTAAGGGTAAAATGGAGATACAAAGATTAAATAGTTTCCAAAACGAGAAAGGTACCGTTCTTGTGGGGATAGACTAAAGAGAAAAGTGTGTCACATCAAACGGGACAGAGGGAGTATAACGTAATTACATCATAGAATTTAATCAGCTGGAGATTTGGAAGTGAATCGTACTTATTTAATTTCGATATAGACAGGGTTCCGAGGCATAATTTTCTTGCATCTCTTATAAATAACTGTGCTAGTATGGGTCTCTTTGGATAGGTACTCTTCTTGATGGCCATGTTTGATTTAATCTTCTAATTCCTTTCAGATGCATGGCTTACCCTTGTGCATTATTCTGCCAATTTATCTGAAGATTTTAACTTTTTTCTGTTTTTCTCGGTAGAGTGTTTACCCTTGTGCATTATTCTGCCAGATGCATGGCTTACCCTTGTGCATTATTCTGCCAATTTATCGGAAGATTTTAACTTTTTTCTGTTTTTCTTGGTAGAGTGTTTTACCTGGTATCCTTCAAGGTGACAAATCAGATTCCCTCTTATACGGGTCTGTTGATAATGGCAAGAAAATCTGCTGGAGTGACGAGTTCCATTCCAAGGTACCAGTGGACCTTAATTTTTTGTTCACCTTCTTTTTTTCCTTGTATGGCTTGCACAACAATTTTAGGATGTTTGTGGAAAGTATAAGGTTTATTAGGATTACTTGCTGGGTTTGTCATGATTCTTTAACTATCATACTTTTTTTTTTTCAAAGACAAACCACTAACACAACTTGAGAGTCTCGCAAACGAGCACACACATACAAGCAGTTCACAACTTGATTGGGCTGACTGTTGCAGCTAGTGACGGGCAGATAATACCGACTTTTTTTTTGCAAGGATGTTTGACACCTAATTAAACAGCTCACTTTTTGAGATGAGGAAAACAGGCATAAAGATCAGATTTTGGATGTTTAGCTTCAGCATGTTCCTTGCACTTCACCTCTGATGTCGTGCACATAAATGTCTGCATACACACCTTGCACTGGATACTCGTTGCTTTTTTGTTCGTGTCGTGCTGACTTCCTTTGGAAGCTTTCGACTTCTCGAGATTTTTCTCGCGAGCCATCTTGGCTTTCTGACCGTTGCCTCCACCCATGATTTTTCTTGATCAGAGGTCGGAAAAAGAAAACCCTAGAAGAGCCCTTTTTGTTTTAGCGCTAAAACGTGGCGGGGAATGGCATGCTTTGGTTCTATATATTGTGATAATGAATTGATTTGAAGCATCTGGGCTTCTTTGGTGTGCTCAACTGGACATGCTTGTTATGGAGTGATACATGTCTTGCTGGATTCCTCTTTTCCTTTCTGTGCCTTTGGTTATTATGAGGGATCATTTTAGTTCCCTTATTTTTTTTTTTGGGGGGGGGGGGGGGCTGTCTTATGATGAAAGCCAATTTTGGTTCATTGGTGATAAGAATCTATTTCACCACAGGATGTCATTGGTGGTAATAATCTATTTCACCACAGGATGCATATGATTGAAGTCCTGTGAAATATGCACATAACAGACCCCTCCAAGCTTAATAATGTCATATTTTTGTAGATATATAACTTGGAGATGGGAAAACGTGGAAACTTTTAAATAGATACTGCTCTTTCATTAGTTGCAGTTAGCATATGCGTCTGTATATGTGAATGTCATTGACTTAACCAACTTAAGTGGGCAATTTGTCATCTTAATAAGATTAATTCTTTAGTCTTATGTGGTTTTCAGGCATTATCTGTTGGACTTGATGAGAGTCACTCCTCGTGATGCAAATTATAGTGGTTCAGGTTCCAGATTTTGTATTTTGCGACCTGAATTGATAACTGCGTTTTGCCAAGTGAGTCCTGCTTGTGCTATGACTTGCTCTCCTATTTTCATTTGTGTTCAATTCTTATATTTATTTTGGTTTTTATATTTGTTCCGGATCTGCAAACCTTATTTTTTGGGTTCGGGTTGCTTTTGTACTTGGATCTGATTTCTGATTCTTCGCTCTCAAAAAATTATCTTGGTTCTTTCCCAAGGCTGAAGTTGCTGAGAGGTCAAAATCGAAGTGCGAGTCAGAGGGGGAGGTACCAGTGGCCTCTGATTCTTCAACGGTAAATAACACTGAAGAATTACAAACAACCGATGGCGTTGCCCCAGCTGAAGTCGACAGTAATAAGGTAGCAATCTCCTGCTTAAATGAAGTCTGTCCTACTGCAAACTTTTTTTTTGTCTAGCTTATAATGAGATGGAATGTGTTGTTGAAAGTCAATTCCTTGTTGTAACAATTACCGCAGTTGCGCACTACTGTTGGATATAAGTATGCTTGTTTACTTGCGACCAATTTTGTGTTGGATAATATAGTTTCATAGTATTTCTTTAACAATACACACTTCTTGAAAGATATTTCTTTTATAATATGATTCGCGAGATTTTAAAGTTCTATTTTATGTTCTCACCTTGGTTGTTAATGATGTCTTCCTTTTTATAATTGCTTTCAGCTCTCCCTGATTTTAGATTCACGTTTAGATGAATGCATGTCCCAAGTTATGTGAGCATTATCACTCTGCAGTATCTTATGTTGCCTTTTCTCTTCCCTATCTCTTCTCCTCTTTACTTTGATTTGTCATTTTCAGTCTACGTGTCTGTACAAAAAAAGTATACGTGTCTGTTACTTTCAAAAGTGCTCTAGTTGGTTCATCTTCTTGTACCTTGTTAGTTTTTTTCTGAAATTATAATATAAATTTCATGTACACTGATGATTCAAAGCATTAAATGGTGATGGATTCTTTATATTCAATCCGTGATAATTGTGATATTAGTATCATGCTCGGGCGTTGATATATTTTGTGAACTTCAGAGGATATCAATCTGGAGATTCTATGAGTTCTTTTTAAAGGAAAAAACCTACAAATATGATTTTTTCTCTCAAGAGGGAATCAATGCAAACACTTTTGTACGAAGAAGTAATTTACCTCTTTGCTCTTGCTATTCAGTTATATAAGATATAACCTCTTTTTTCTCTTATTTAGGGAGAAAAAAGTGTGAAGGATGCTGGTAACAACTGCTGTTCTCACTCGGGAAGAACGGATACTGAGGATATACTTTTCAATCCTAACGTCTTTACAGATTTTAAGTTGGCAGGGAGTGAAGAGGTTATTTTTTTTTTGCCTGTGATTATTGTTCCTTGCTTGGTTTTTAGAAGGTGTTTTGTATTTATATGGTCCATTCTCCCAACTTCACCAGGAGATAGTTGCTGACCAAGAACTTGTGAAGAAAGTGAGTTTGTATCTGAAAGACACTGTGCTTCCGAAGTTTATTCAAGATCTCTGCACACTTGAAGTTTCACCCATGGATGGGCAAACTTTAACTGAGGCACTCCATGCGCATGGAATTAATTTGCGCTATCTGGGAAAAGTAATGATCTCCTGACAAGCTCCGTTAATTCTCATATTGCTTAGATTTTCCACTAAATATAAGAAAAATTTGTAGCATGAGCGGAACTCTAACTTCAGTTAAAGTAGTAAGCTTGGCTTTGTCTTCTCCCTTTTTTTCCAGGTGGCTGAGGGGACCAGGAACTTGCCTCATTTATGGGATCTTTGTTCCAATGAGATTGTTGTCAGATGTGCGAAGCACATACTCAAGGTGATTGATTTTGATTAAAAAAAATGTTTTTCATTGCCAGTTGAAAGGCTGCAATAAGATTGAACTATAAACCTACTAAATCTTATGCTTTGACAACTATGGTCCCACTTGAGAACATGCTCCACCTTTTGAGATTGAACAAATTTTTTGTGGTTTTCTGAGGTTCAGTTTTTTTTGTTTCTCCTGTCATGTCTCAACATTTTTGCTTAGCGTTATAAGTGGAGAAGTGAAGGGGATGTTTCTTTTTACCTGCCTTTATTTCTTTATTACTGGGCAAAAGCTTTTTAATCTACAGAGGTGGACTCGTTTTACTTAGGCTCTGGTGGTTCAAAATAGTCATTTGTGCTTATCCACTTGGTGGTTAAGATGAAGCACCACTAATCACTCTGATTATCTTGATACATGGAAGAAGTTGAAATTCTATTTTATAGGTTTCTGGAGTTTGTAATTTCTTTACCATTTGATCTAATGAGACATGCAGGATGTGCTGAGGGATGCTGAGGACCATGATCTTGCAAACACAATCTCACATTTTTGCAACTGTTTGATTGGAAATATTCAAAGTGTATCTAATAAAGGTGGCGCCAACAGTGCACTTTCTAAAAACCAAAAGAAGGTACAGAGAAAGAGAGATGATTGTCATTACTCCCTATGGCTATTTATTGCTACTTCCTATAGTAAGATATCATGTGGAAGTTCTATTGAATTGAGTGTACCATCTACTAAACCTTTTAAAGAGGGGATAGTTTTATTTATTTATTTTAGGTTTACAACATGGACCCTCAAGTGCTGATTTGATTCTTTTGCTTGAGCCAAACATATGGAAATATTTTGTTGATACAGTGAACTTCTCTAATACCATGTTGAATTATGTGGTACCGCCTCATCTAAAAGTTTGAGCTATTAAAGTGGGATTTCTTTTTTTTTTTTAAACAAGTCCATGCTTTGCCATTGTTATTTACTTGTATGCTAATATTTGGAGGAGCAATATGGAAATTACTAGTTTAATTGTCTAAAAACTCTGTTGCCTATATAGAGCAAGCATTTTCCAGAATCATTTAAGCTTGCTGTGCTGATATATTCTATTATTGTTTCTCAAATGAGTATATGGTAAATGGTTTTAGTAAATTTACCTCTATGAAACACATTGCGTAGGACCACATCAGCAACCAGCAAAAGTCGTCCAAACAAGGAAAGCGAAAAAATGTAGGATCTGCCAAGAAGAAGCTGTCCTCCTATTTGAATATTACCTCTGATAGTTTGTGGTCTGATATCCAGGAATTTGCGAAGCTAAAGTATCAGGTATCATTTTCTTTCAAGAACTTTCTTCAGTTGTTCTCCCAGATGTTTCAAGTTATTAGTCATGGTTTTTTCTTCTCTTTAGTTCGAGTTGCCTGAGGATGCAAAAATGCTCGTAAAGAAAATTCCAGTTGTACGCAATCTTTGTCAGAAGGTATGTTTCATCAAGTAATCCACTATGAGGAATTCTTACTTTTAATTGAGATTATATATTTGTTACAGTAGCTAATTTTTTCCTGCTTCCCGATATTATCTTATATTGGTCAAGCATTATCATCATTTCAAAGTGGCTATGTCCATGTCATCGTTCATATATTGAGTTCTCTGGGATGCATTCTACTTTCTTGGCATGAAAACTTGGTTGTATTTAGTGATCTTGTGACGTTTTCTTGACTGTGCATAGAGGTAGTCCCTTCGGAGTCTGTCACCATTTTCTTGCTTTAGAGAGGGCCTACATTTTTTGTATACTGTTTTGTGACATCAGTTGTCTTGGTGGTGCAAGCGAAGTTGTGGAGAAAAAGTAGTCTGTTCTTTTGAGTGTTTGACTTCTCAAGACCATGGAGTTCAAGCAGGGAAAATTTCCTTCCAGATTATGCTAATCTTGATATGGGTGGTGAGGCACAGTGATAAATTCGTGCTGTTATATGATGCAGCAGTTACATTGTTATATGTCCATTGATTTAGAAAATTTTATTGGAATATAAATCATTAGATGGAGATTGGCACTCTATCTTGGTGGTAGAGATGACTGGAGATTGTTAACTAGTTCTTGATGGGATATTGTGGTTGATGAAGATTGTTTCCCGGAACTAGTTTTCCTCTTAGTAGTCGAGCTAAGATTAGTCAAGCATCTTTTCCTCTTATTTTATATAGCTATAAGTAATATGGTGCCTAATTTTAGGTGTAAGGAGATGAACCCACTCACTTTGATAATGAGTCTTCCCCTTGAAATCCCTTTATTGTGCTTTTTCTTGTGCAGCAGACTATTGCCCCATGTTATGCATGTAATTCTACCTTAATATGTTTAAGTAGCTCGTAGAACTTTGCTCTTAACAGGTAGGTGTGACCGTTGCAGCTCGTAAATATGACCTTGTCTCTGCTGCACCTTTTCAAGCATCAGATATTATGAATCTCCAACCAGTGGTGAAGCATTCTATCCCAGTTAGTTCAGAAGCTAAGGACCTTGTAGAAACAGGGAAGGCTCAATTAGCTGAGGTATTAACTGTTACAATTGGTGACGAAAATGGAACATGTTCATGTTAGTCATGGTCTAATGGATATTTTGTTAGGCTAGCTGTCAATCCTTTTTTCCTTTTTTTTTTTAATTTGGAGTTTACGTAGGTCGTATTTGAGACAAAACAATGACTTCATGCATTTCAGGGTTTGCTTAGTGAGGCCTACACTTTATTTTCTGAAGCATTCACAATACTTCAGCAGGTATAATACTGTTTTTTTTATCTGCGATCTGCTTTTGATGTCTATATCAGTTAGTTAATATCAATGTTTAAAAATGCAGGTGACGGGTCCTATGCACCGTGAGGTTGCCAATTGTTGTCGGTAAACATCTGTTGCTCTATCAGTTCATCTTTCTATGAGAGAAAATGCTTGTGCAATGCAATCTTTGGTCATTCTATTTTCTCTCTTTGTTCTTTTCTTTTAATAATTATTTCTCTTCCAGCTACCTTGCTATGGTTCTGTATCATGCTGGAGATATGGCTGGCGCTATAATGCAACAGCACAAGGAACTTATCATAAATGAAAGATGCCTTGGACTGGACCACCCTGACACTGCGCACAGGCACTTTTCTTCGTCTTTGAACTCTGTTTTTCCTTGCATTTGCTAGACATTGCCTGTTGTTTTACTGATGTTGAAGGTGAAGATGAAAACCTGTATTTCGTGATCATTATATGATTAATAACGTGTTTGACTGCAGTTATGGAAACATGGCCCTTTTCTACCATGGTCTTAACCAAACAGAACTTGCATTGAGGCACATGTCACGGGCCTTGCTTCTGCTTGGCTTGTCATCAGGTCCTGATCATCCGGATGTTGCTGCAACATTTATAAATGTTGCGATGATGTACCAAGATATAGGAAAGATGGATACAGCACTTCGTTATCTCCAAGAAGCATTGAAAAAGAATGAACGGTTGCTCGGGGAGGAACATATTCAGACTGCTGTTTGTTATCATGCTCTGGCAATTGCATTCAATTGTATGGGTGCTTTCAAGCTCTCACACCAGGCATGTGGTTGAACTGTATAGTTTACTGCGTTAGCAAAAAGGGTATCAGCATGGTTACTTTTTAAACCGTTTTTAATTAATTTTTATCAACAGCATGAAAAGAAAACTTATGACATACTAGCCAAACAGCTCGGAGAGGAGGATTCAAGGACACGTGATTCTCAGAACTGGATGAAAACTTTTAAGATGCGTGAGATACAGGTACAAGTTACTCAGACCTGATCACTTCTAACTCCTTGTGACACACTTATGATTCCCTTATGTGCTTTTGCAATATGGAAATCCTTAACAGATGAATGCGCAAAAGCAGAAAGGTCAATCTCTGAATGTGGCTTCTGCACAGAAGGCTTATGATATTTTGAAGGTACATTTTTTCTAACAGTCTTGTACCTTTTTGTGATCCTTCGAGGGTTCCATTAAATCTCTGACATATTTGCTTACCTTAAAATTTCACCTTGTTTGTGGTTACGTGGCTGTAGTGCAAGCTTGGCCTTGGTGATCAAGACTTGCTTTTCTAATTTGCATTCCCTCTTCATATCTCTCTCGTGATAGTGCATGTTTAATCCTCTTTAGGACCCTTAGATCAACAATTACTATGGCATATATAGGATCTTGGCTTTTCCTTTTCCCTTTTGATGGCCAATATTGGAGAGAATTTATTAGTGGATTTTCATTCTAGGACATGATTGTGGTCGCCTTGGAATTAGTTTATAAGTATGTCAACTAGAAAGAGGATGTTCACTGTTTTGAGTTGAATGTTGCAGGCTCATCCTAGCCTGCTACACGCATTTCAAGCTGCTGCTGGAGGTGCTGGTGTTGGTGGCATGAACCAATCATTAAGTTCTGCAGTACTTGGTGATGGGCTTCCTCGAGGAAGAGGAGTTGATGAAAGAGCTGCACGAGCTGCTGCTGAAGTAAGGAAAAAAGCTGTAGCAAGGGGTCTTCTGGTACGTCCCAGTGGTGTTCCTGCAGCGACTTTACCCCCTCTTACCCAGCTACTCAATGTAATAAACTCTGGCGCCGCGCCGGATGCTGCAAATGCTAATGAAACTAATGAAGAAAAGGAAGAAGTGAATGGCCATTCTTCTGATGGACCTGGAGTAGATGCCCAAGCAGACCATTCCAAAACACCAGGACAAGATCAAACTCCTGTTGGTTTAGGAACAGGTTTGGTGGGGTTGGATGCCAAGAAACAGAAATCAAAAGGGAAATCTGCATCTTGAAACATAGAATGCTGAATTTACTAACAAACATGACAATGGCCAGTTCGAGCATTATTATGGATTTTAACCAGCGGCCAGCTCATGCTGCAGGTACTCATCGTGTGGGCAATTGCTTATACTTGTATTCTATTCTTGCAATAATACTCTCATGGAGATTTAAGTATTCGAGATGCAGTTCCTCTCATCTTGATTATTGCTACTGAGATTACGTAACTTGTAGGCCTAGTTTGAGAAAATAGGTTTAGTAGGCGCATTATTTTGGTGTTCGTTCTAAATAAAGTTATGTAGGGAGGTTGATTATCTGTTTTGTGCATTGATGTCATCCTGAAAATTTTGACATCAATCCCTTATGTATACCCATTTCGTTGCCGTTGAATATGTAATGATCTGGTGAGTGAAAGTGCTCTTTCGTGGACAACCTTTTTATTTCTGGTTAAAAGTTATCGTTCTATTTGTCACTTTTTTTTCTTTGGGATTTTTTTAATTTAAAAACTTTGAGGTGGCTTTAAAAGACTGAAGTCAATGTTGTTGATTAATGAGTTTTTTTACCTCCTAGAAATTCCATTTTCATTGAGTGCATACACTGATTTAAGAAATGAACTTCTCCTTTACCCTCTGTTCAGGTTGACCCTTTCTCTGTGCAATATCCATGTCAAAAAGATATACTACTGTAGATCAAGTAAAAGTTATTCTTTCCTCTCTCTGTTCTACTGTAATTGATTTTTTTTTGGTTGTTTTCACATATATTAAAGAATTCACATTTTAATAGTAATTAACAATAAAATTTACCATATTAACCTTAATTTGTTTTTTGAAAATACAACAAGTACTTCTAGGCTTTTTACTTCAAGGGCAACTTTGAATAAAATAAGTTATTTCTTTCTTGATATTTGGAAAAATCAAATATTGTGGACTACAAAAAAAAGATTAGAAAATTAATTAAAGTGAGCCGGATGGAGTACTAAATAAGGATAGGAGTTCGTTTGAAATGGTAAATTCCTACTTCCATGAGAGTTTCAGATATAGTTTCACTTGTAATTTTAATTATCTGTTTTATAAAATTTAGGTCTAGCAATGTTGCAATTAAAAAAATGGAAGTTACATAAATTTTGCTACTCCTATATACTTCAGCAAGAGAAATACTCCTGGTTATCTTGATACATTATGCATCATCCTTCAAATTTTTTAGCTCGTAAGCTTTATATTTGAAAGAATTTTATTTCTGTATTTTGAGACTGCGATCTCCTTTTTATTTAAATTTAGATGGTTTCAAATCCATATTATATTAAAAGCGTGAACCCCAAAACTTAGGACCCGTTTTGTCATAGATTTTGCCAAAATAAATTTTGGTTTTATTTGGCAAATACATGTTTGGCCATAGATTTTGTCTATATTTCGGCAAAATCCCAAATTTCAAAAACCAGCTCAATAGCTGATTTTGGGCCAAAGTATCACTGTTACATTTTTTAAAAAATTATCCCAAACTTTTGTATTTTATAAAAGAGCCCACAATTTATTATTTTATAACAATGTTGCTTCGTCATCTCGGTCACTTGATAGTGTATCATGTAATTCATTATAAAAATGATAATTTTGTATCAAATTTATTTATGTTCAGGATTATGATTTGCGATAATATAATGAATGTTATTGATAATGGTAATGTTGGGTATTTGTGATAGTTTTTAGAACTTGTGGGTATAAGTCATGTTTCATGTTTTTTCAAAATAAATTTGGGAAATATATTTTGAAAACTGATGTCCAAATACATTTTCATCTTCAAACCAAACTTCACCCAAATCAGATTTTTACAAATTTGAAAATCTACGACCAAACGCTAGCTTAAAAGTTAAATTACATATTTGCCTTTCTAGATAATATAAATATCTTATTCCTAAAATTGAAAGAAAAGAGAAAAAAACTGAAAAATTGCTACATTGAGTCACAATGGTCAGAAAAGTTTTTAGACGCGTTGGTTTGGCACAACACATATTATTTATAATAGTATATTAACTATAGAATATTTAAATAAAAAGAAGGCAACTGATGTGTCTTTTCCTTTCTAAAGTTGTGTCTTTTTAAGATAACTAACCAACTCTTCTTTCAATTCAAAATTCACCCCATCAAACATTGAACACAAGTTCATTCTCATTGAAGAAATATTCTGGAAACAAAAACAAATAATGGTCTTGAAAATTGAATATTAAAGAAATTATCTACGAGGTGCATAGACACAGCTCTAAGAAGTCAAACACTCCTTTGGTAAATTTTCATCAATGTAAGTATAATTTTATGAGAGAAGGTGTCACATGATAGTGTCAAGAATTCTATTGCGTCAGGCTATTATTCGGAGAGATTGGAGCAGTTTGATAATGAAATAATGGGTTCTATTTTCTCTTATTCAACTTATGGTTTATATGTTGTTTCTTATCCTTAGTTATTTATAAATATAATTCTATAAATGTTAGGGCACTTAATATATAGTGTGTCATGCATTTTATAATTAAGAATACAAAATAATTCCTTTTAACAAATGAGATTGATTTGTTGGTATGTAATTTAGTAGCATGCATGAAATTATGTGAAAGATTATAGTTTCAAGGTTGTAATATGTGAATTAGTTTTACTAACTTGAGTAAATTTTTGAAATCATAAGAATAAATGAGGTTTACACATAAATATTATTTAAATGTTGCTGTCCTTTTATCATGAATTTGATCTCTTTGAGAGAAAATCCAAATAACCTTTTAATTTATTTTTAACAATAGTAACAATAAAATAAAATTTTGAAAAATTTATTTCTATTGTGTTTCTCTAAATAATTATGTTCTTTTATTAGTAAATTATTTTTTTTTAAAAATATTTAGCTGTTAAGAATATAACTTTTCAAAGGGTTACTTATTTTATTTTAAGGAAATTATTTGTGAGAGAAAAGACATAACTTCTTAGTTATTTTATATGTTTTTATTATATAATAACTATTATGTATAGCTATTCAATGTGATTTTCACGGTTGGTGTTATGAACTATAAATCAATATTGATCAAGCGACCATACGACCATCTACACCGGTCATTTACAGAAATTTGTACTTAATTTTTTCATGTATAATCATCCCCTAAAAATAGTATTTTAATATTATTAATATTATTTTATAAAGTTATATGACATAACTTGACATACGCGTGCCGAAAAACTAGTTAGGATAAAAAAAGAAAAGGTCTTTGGTGCTATCTAGAGAACCTCATGTTATACAGATGTTCCTTTGCGCTTTACATAAAGATCAATAATATGGTTGTGATTTATTAGGTTCCTGACTTGTTATGTATTCGAACTTCTGCGATGCTCTTGATTTAGTTAGAACTATGAACAACTTTTGTAAAACTAGATTTATTTTCTCGCACAAAAATTATATAACTTTCACTAACTCACATAAAAATTATAGAGGTCGAAAAACAAAAAATTTCGATACTATTTTCTTATTATACATTTTTTTATTTTCTCCGGTTAATTCTCGCATCTAAGAATTTGGTATAGATTTTGAGTTCACACATTTTCACAACATTCATTTCCAAGAACGTTACATCTATTGCAGAATCTTCTATTTACTGCTGATATAGCTATTTCACGGGAAGAAGAAGAGCTATTTCAAGAACAGATATAGCGAAACCAGCCTAATTTCAGGACAGAAATATTGAAATCATATTTGGTTCGTCAGAGGCTACTTACGGAGAGACTTGCATGAATTTGAATTCAAAAGCAAGGTTTGACTATACTGGAACAGAATCAAGAAAATCCAAGGTGTTTTTTCGTCGTTCGTCACCATCACCGTCGGCCGATCGCCGTCGTTAAAGTTATCCCCATTTCGCTTCTCGAAGTTTGCCGTTCAGTGAAAATATTGCATACGGAGAAGCTTTTCATAGGAGGAGATTTCAACTGTCACATTGGAGCGGCGTCTCGGGGTATGATGATGTGCGTGGTGGCTTTGGTTTTGGAGATAGAAACGGAGGAGGAACGTCTCTGCTCGACTTTTCTAGAGCATTTGATTTGGTGATAGCAAACTCGAGTTTTCCGAAGAAGAGGGAACACTTGATCACCTTTCGGAGTTCGGTGGCCGAGACTCAGATTGATTATTTACTCTGCAGGAAGTCCGATAGAGGTCTTTGTACGGATTGCAAGGTCATCCCGAGTGAGAACCTCTCGACCCTTCATAGGCTCCTGGTCATGGACCTTGAGATCACAAGGAAGAGGGCGATGTATTGCCAACATAGGATCAAGTGGTGAGCCTTGACGGAAGCTAAAGCGCAGGAGTTGAGGATCAAGCTGCTGACTATGGGGGCTTGGAGGAGTAGTGGGGACGCAAGCGCTATGTGGACCACGACTGCGCATTGCATTAGGGAAGCTGCAAGAGAGGTATTAGGGGTCTCAAAGGGTTACTCTGGTGGTCACAAGGGAGACTAGTGATGGTAATGGAGAGGTGCAAGGAAAAGTGGAAACCAATAAAGCGGCGTATCTGAAGCTAGTGAAAAATGTAGACGAGGAGGAGAAGAGGGCGAATAGGGAGCAATATAAGTTGGCTAAGAAAGAGGCAAAACTAGCAGTTACGGCGGCCAAGACTGTAGCTTTTAGTCGTTTGTACGAGGAACTTGAGGGCCGAGGTGGGGATAAGAGGTTGTTCTGGTTAGCCAAGGCGCGAGAAAGGAAGGCACGTGACTTGGACCAAGTGAAGTGCATCAAGGACAAAGATGGTAGAGTTTTGTTGGATGAGGGGCTTATCCGTCATAGATGGTAGACCTACTTTCATAGTCTCTTGAACGAGGAGGGGGACATGACCATTGTACTAGGTGATTTGGAACTCCCTGGGAGTTGTTGTGACTTTGGGTATTGTATCCGAATTAGAGTTGATGAAGTGGAGGGGGCTATGCGTAAGATGAGCAGGGACAAAGCGACCGGACCGGATGAAACCTTGCTTTTGAATTCAAATTCATGCAAGTCAAGACAGGCTTGGAGTGGCTCACTAGGTTATTTAATGTCATTTTTAGAATGAAGAAGATGTCCGAGGAATAGAGGTGGAGCATTATGGTTCCTGTATACAAGAACAAGGGTGATATCCAAAATTGCAATAGTTATCGGGGAGAGAGTGGTAGAGCTAAGGGTGAGGAGGATTGTGTCTATTTTCGAGAACCAGTTCGGGTTCATGCCGGGGCGTTCGACTACATAAGCCATGTCACACATCATATTGGGGCGAGATAGATGAAATTAAGACTCGCTTCTGGTGTTTTGTGTGACAAGAAGGTGCCACTGAAACTTAAAGGTAAGTTCTACAGAATAGTGGTCAGACTGACGATGTTGTATGGGGTTGAGTGTTGGCCAGTCAAGATCGCTCATGTCCAGAAGATGAAGGTAGCAGAGATGAGGATGTTGAGATGGATGTGCGGACACACCGGGTTAGATAGGA